ATTCTTGCATTATAAAATGATTTAAAAATATTTGTTATTGATTTCAGAGAGGAAGGGGGGGGGAGAGAGAGAGAGAGAGAGAGAGAGAGAGAGAGAGAGAGAGAGAGAGAGAGAGAGAAACATCAATGATGAGAGAGAATCATTGATCGGCTGCCTCCTGCACACCCCCTACTGGGGATCAAGCCTGCAACCTGGGCATGTGCCCTTGACCAGAATCAAACTTGGGACCCTTCGGTTCGCAGGCCGACACTATCTACTGAGCCAAACTGGCTAGGGCATGACAAGATCAATCTTTAACAGAGCTTATAGTCTTTTTGTATCTAGGATAAGGTATCATTAAAATGTCAGGATAACTTGTAACTTCCCTTTTTTCTGGACCTGCCCAGGGCACAACCAAATGCCCTGGGCGCCAGGACAGATATCACAAACCCCTTCACAGTTATTGTTATCTTTATCGTGTTAATTGTTGATTTAACTATTCTGCACCCACCTAAGTAAAAGAAGTGTCTATCACAGTGATGGCGAACCTATGACACGCGATTTTCACCTCTGACACGCGAACTCATTTTTTTGGTTGATTTTTCTTTGTTAAATGGCATTTAAATATATAAAATAAATATCAAAAATATAAGTTTGTTTTACTATGGTTGCAAATATCAAAAAATTTCTATATGTGACACGGCACCAGAGTTAAGTTAGGGTTTTTCAAAATGCTGATACGCCAAGCTCAAAAGGTTCGCCATCACTGGTCTATCATTTTATTCTTTATCCAGTCCCAGAGGACCGCCCCCACTGTCTCCCCATCTCTAATCTATCACCAATGGATTTCATGTAATGAAATTAGGCCGCGCCCACAGCCCGAAACCACATCCATCTCCTCCTTTGATTGCAAGGTTTAAAAAATAGATGAAAAAACTGCCATTCTCTGGAGCATTATCCCAATACGTTAAGATTTTGCTTCCCAGAAATTGTCAACAGTTTGGCTCAAATAACTCACAAAAATTCTTTACAGGTTTGAATGTTCTTACATTAACTATATATGTATATATGTGTATATATATATGTGTATATATATATTTATATACACACATATATACACACACACACACAAACACAAATAAAAAGAAAAAACAAAACAGTATATGTATATATTTAGAATGGTCGATAATTATATGTTTTCTTATATTTATTTGCTCATCCCACGTCTCATTGTCCTTATATCCCTAACTCCCTGCCCTCCACCAAACCCAATTTTCTGCCTAACTCAGGTCTCAACAAAAGAGACAACCATTTTGGCTGGTCTTAACTTTAAATTCATGCCTATACGTTAAATAGGAACTTGACATTGTATTGATCCTAGAAAAATGGATTTTCTACTCTGAGAAAATTTACAGCTTCCTCAAAATCTCCAACACCATCTCCTCCCTGGCCTGACCACTTGTTTCTTCAAGAAAATGGAAATAGCCCTGGTCGGTGTGGCTCAGTAGGTTGGAGTGTGAGTGCTCCAAAAGGTGGAGGGTTCCATTCCTGGTCAGAGCACATACCTAGGTCGCATGTTTAATCCCGGTTGGGGTGAGTGTAGGAGGCAACCGACATATCTCTCTAACATCTCTCTCTCTCTCTCCCTCCCTCCCTCCCTGTGAAAAAACCAAACACAGCAAAAAACGGAAACAATCACTTCAATTGCCTTGTCTTTCCCCCTTCATCCTACCTGCATGTATACACCATATAGTCTGTCTATCCTTCTGTTTCAAAAATTAAATAGAAACCATCCTTCTATCCAAGACCAACCTTTCCACTTGAGCACATACATCTATCCAGGGCTTGTGGTTATCATTACTTTCATGAATACATGAAAATGCTGTAACATCATCGCCACCATCCACTTCTTAACCTCCTCTAATCACTTTTGGCCCACTAGTTCATTCAAAGGGCTCTTATCAAATTTCAACTACTTTATTTGGTCACATGATGAATATATAATCCTCATCCTCTGAAGCAGGGCTTAGTTGACTGCTGCCTCCTTCCTGAAACATTTCCTTCCCCTAGTGTCACAGACGCCACATTCTTTTGTTTCCATCACGGCTGGCTCTTCTGACTGGAGTGCTCCCACACATCTGCCCTCTTCTCCACTAACTCTCCACTCAATGTCCTCCCGGCAGCCCAGAGATTTAAATATCACCTATAAAATCTGACTCCCAGATTATCTCCCTAGCCAGACATCTTCCCTGAGAAACAACTGTGGAAATCCAACTTGGCTACTGCACATATTCTGAGCTGTATACTAGATCAAACTCAGATCTCGATTTATTCCTCAGAAACCAGTGCATCCACCCCAGCCCTCATTTCAGTAAATGGCACTACTGTTCACCCAGATGCTTGGGCAAAACAGTTGATTTCTCAAAAAAAAATTGGGGTGGGGGGGTTCTAGACACGAAGGCAAGACCATTTGGCTCTATCTTAAAATTATATTCCAAATCAAACTACTTCTCACTAACTACAATTCTACATCTCTAGGTCAAGCCACCACTTCTCAACTGGACTACTGTTAGGGGCAAAAATAGAAGATTGGGGACGAGCTATGGTTATGGGAAATACTAACCATGCTCTGTTAACCATGATTGCCTTGTGTTGGTTAGAGAAAGGACATTCTGACCTGGCTGGGAGTTGTGCCACCAGGATCTGGGAGTCAACCTTGGAACCATTCTCATTCGAGGATTGCCTATTATCATGGAAAGATTAACAACTTTGTTGCCCAAACAAGGAGTCCCACCCCAGCCTCCTACTTCCCCATATAATCCTTGTCCTACCCTATATAGCAGCTGGCTTATGGGGGCGCTGCAGGGCAGATTTTTGTGGATGACCTGCTGTTCTCCCATACTGCCCGCAGTACTGGAATAAACACTCACATATGATTCAATCCCATCTCTGCTTAGACTCAAGTAGTGACAGGCAGTACAGACCCACTGATTGTCCGGTTACACTAACACAAACCTCCTTAGGAGTTGGTTTCCTCACTTTCCTCCAATCTGGTCTATTCTCCACCCAACAACCAGTCATCAAAAGCATAAATCAGATGTTCCTTCCCTGTACAAAATCCTCTCATTACAAAATCCAGTTTCTCATTACAAACAGAAAAATGAGTATCAAGTTCCATCTTATTTAGTCCTTATTAATCACTCTGACCTCATTTCCCATCACTATACACCAGCCACACTGGCATCCTTGGAATTATAACAGGCCAAGCTCATCCCTTCCTTAAGGTCTTTGCTTTTGCAGTTACTGCTATCTTAAATTTCTTTCCTCATATCCTCCTCATCATTGAGGTCTTCATGCAAAACATCTACTCCTCAGACAGGTAGATCTTCTTTGTTCACTTTTTATCAAAATTAGACACCCTCACTAGTCACTCTATCTTGATCTAACTCTGATCTTGCTATATTTTCTTCACATTTATCAACACCTGAAACTACTATATACTTACTTATTGTATATCCTCTTCTTTAAAAAAAAAATATCTTATTAACTTCAGAGAGGAAGGGAGAGGGAGAGAGAGAAGCAATGATGATATCGGATCATGGATCGGCTGCCTCCTGCACGTCCCCCACTGGGGACCCAGCCGGCAACCAACGCACGTGCCCTGACTGGGACTCCAACCATGACCAGCTGACATCCAACCACTGAGCAACACCAGCGGGCTGGGCTGGGCTTTTTCTGACCTTATGAACAGTAAGCATTTAGCACAGGTTAGCTAAAATTCATTAAACACGTATCAGTGTAACTGCAAAGACTTTCCAGTTTATTTCCTAGTACTGAAAAATCGACCCAAAAACCCCAAACAGCACTTTATAAGACATAAACTAATACTACTTTAGAACTTGATATATAAGGTGATTCTAACTTCTGATCACAAGTTATTGCCTAATTATATTACAAAACTACCATAGAGTCATGAAACTGGCATACTCAATTTGAAATAAATTTATATATATATACGTGTATATACATATACATATATATCTATATATATATATACACACACATACACAATACATATTTTTTGGAGTGGTAGATAATAAGTCTCATACATAAGGAAAAAAGGGTAATCATTTACGAATTAAGTATGAACCCCAAATCGCTGGCAATAACCGATAATATCCCCGATGACTGGATCATAGCCGTTGCCTTGCCATTATCCTCTCCGGAATGAATGACTCCACGTGTAAACTGCGATGTTTCAGCATCATCAATCAGACAACGTAAAGGAGGTTAGAGAATTATCGTTTTAGTCCACTAAACAGAAAAGGAAAACAACTACTGGGGGGATTGAAGAGCAAATCTGGCAGTGTGAAAATAACTAGTTATTTCGGTGGTTTTCTCCTCTGAAGGCGACGCAGAACAGAAATACTGGCATTAGTGACACGAACACCACAGCTCTAGGTTACTAACGAGGTTTTCGTTTCATGGGAGAAACTCCATGGCCACTGGACCTGACACCAGACGCCTCCCTCCAGACACGACGGGGAGGGAGATGCGCGACAGCCTCAAGCCACCGAGTCGGGCCGAGGTCGCCCGGTAAGCTGCCCGGAAGGGAGACTTCTCGGGGTCCCGCAGCCGGGAAGAGCGAGGGCCTCTCCCCGGGGTGGGGACTGCCTCCCAGAAAAGGGCGACTCTCGGCGCACTCGGGGAACGCACACACAAAAAGCGACCGAGCTGCCGGATTCCACGCTCCCCGCGCTCAGCCCCGTCCCCCCGGCCGCCGCCCCACCTCCGCCTTTTTTCCGAGCCCACCGGACGGCGCCGGGAGAGGGCCCGCCGCCCTCTCCTCCCCTCCCCCAAACCAGGGGCAGAGGAGGCCCCGGGAGGTCGGGAGCTTCCGTTCCTTCCCCGCCCAAATGGGAAGAGGTGGGCAGCGGGGCAGCGAGCGCGCCCGGTCCGAGCCCCCCTCGCTCTCCACGCGGACCTGCACCTTCGTTCCCTCCCCACAGCCCGAGACTCACTCGTCAGTCCCACAGCCACCACAGCCACCGCGCCGGGTCCCGCGCACCTCCACAGCCCCCACGCCAGGGCCACCCCCCCACCCCCACAAGCCTGCCGCCGTGGGTTCCGGGGCACTTGGAGGAATCACTTCCGCCGGGTCACCGACGCTCTGTACCACGCGCGGGAGATTAGTATCCGGCGAGGCGGGGAGGGCGCGGCCTATTTTCAGCCACAGCGCCCCCTTCCCTTCTCCCAGTGTCACTGGCAAATCTCAACCAATCCGATACCAGGTCTCCCGGTTCCCAGCATGCAGCACCGACCCTGACCCATTTTCCGCAGGGATCGCGTTCTCAGAGCCGAGCACGTGGGCCGAGGCCGCACACTGCATCCTGGGATTTGTAGTTTCTCCGGCGAGTCGGTCGGTGTTTGGTTCAGGCAGCAGCGCGTCCTGGGACTTGTAGTTTCTCACGCCGGCTCTTAAGATTTGGGCGATTTTAGAGCTTGTCCCTGCCTCTCGTTTTTGGGGTACGCCTGGAGGCCGGAGACTGTAGAGGAAAGATCGAAAGGTGCGAGTGTGGTTTCGAAGCTGACAAGATCGTGTTCTTTAGGAAGCAACATCTATCTTTTGTGTCCTTTTGTGAGAAATTGCGGTGCGCGTTGAAGAGCATCTCAACTGCTCGCGCAATCGGCTGGCCTCATTTCCTCCCTTCCCGGTAGGGTTCACTGTTTTCCGAAAAGTAAGCACATTTCCCCCCGCCCGCCACCCCGTCCCCACCCAGCGCCGGGGTTGCTCAGCGCTTCTAGATTCTGAGATCATTCACAGAAATTCCAGGCGTCTGCCTGCCGCCAGTACTCCGTTCTGAGACCTTCTTTGTCGCTCCACGCCCCCTCTCTTGCTCTCGGGTTCCCTTGCTCTCGGGTTCCCTTGCTCTCTCTCGACGCGCCCATCCTTTTTATTTGCTCCCTGTGGTCAACATCAGGCACCCTTCCGGAAAGGCTGAAACAGCTAAATATTCACCCTCTGTGTACACGACCGTGGCACGTAGGGCCAAGCAGCTCACCATTGCAAGTTGCTCAACTAGGCGCTGTTGTGTAACAACGTCCCTAAACGGAAAGAGACGATCCAAAGTTTGTTGACCTAATTAATGACTTGCGTCCAGGAAGACATTTTTAGTTAATTTGGCAGATAAACTGTATTGCTTTTTACAGAAAGACTGCCCTGGGTTAACTTATCAAACAAAGCCTTTGCAAACATCGTGAAAGTTCGTTGGCGGTGATGGTATTCAGAGTTCGGTGGGAGGAGACGCAGTGCGGTGAGAAGAGGAGGCTGCGGGCCCATTTTCAATCAGATCTTTCCTCCTTTTCCTTCTGAAGTGTCCTTTTCTCGCCTTTCTTGCCTTTTTCCCTCACTGCATTATGGAATGATAGAATTTTCCAGGTGAGGATACGGAGGCTAGCTAAAGCCAGATTGAAGGCTAGAATCTAGTCCAGGACTTTTTTCTTCTTTTGTGCAAAATTAAACTAAAAATTTTTATTTATGTAATCAATATAATACATGCTTATTATAAAAAATGCAGAAATCGCAGATGTTTTGTTTTTTCCATGAGCGTTTACATAGATAGATCATGCACTTGATTTTTTCTGAGGTGTAGCTTGTATGGTTGACAGGAAGCCACTGCCAGGATAGAATAAGAGAGACAGAATGGTTTCTTGTAGGCAAAGGTGTCAGACATGGGTGCGTTTGGTCTCTCTATGAGTTTAATTTGTATGCAGAACATATACAAAAAAGTTAGATAGACTCAGAGGAAGGAAGAGTGAGAATTGGTAAAAGGAATATCAAAAACAAAATATGCATGTGACACCATCTTGCTGGCAGAAAGTAGCAAAGATTTGAAATGATTTTTGATAAAAGTGAAAGAAGAAAGTGCCAAAGCTGGATTGCATTTGAACAACCGAGGAGGCAAAAAATCATAACTACAGAAGAAATACACAGCTTTCACATAGACCTTGACATTGTTTAAAATTTTGTTTAACCCTGGTTCTCTCATCAATTCAGATAGAGCCTGCAACCAAGAAATCAAGACCAGGCTGAAACTTGGAAGGGCAGCAGAGGAAGAATTTGGAAAGACCACCAATAGCAAAGATGTGTGATTAGAGTCCAAGCCTGAGATCACCCACACCCTCGTATTCCCAGTTCCTATGTATGGATGTGAAGATGGCTGACAGGAAAAAGGCTGATATGAAATACGGTGTTGGAGGAGCGCTTGATGGATACCATGAATTGCCAGGAAGATGAACAAGTAGATCCTAGAGAAAATTAAGCCTGAAACATTACTGGAGGCAAATGACAAAACCGAACCTGTCCTATTTGGGGCACATCATGAGAAGGCAGGGTTCTTTGAAAAAGATAATAATGCGGGGGAAAATAGAAGGCTGCAGGAAAAGAGGAAGACCAACTATGAGATGGATTGATTCCATAAAAGAAGCCACAGGCTGACTCTCCAGGAGGTGAGCAGGGCTGTTGAGGACAGGACATTGTGGATGTCACTCTCATGGGATAGACAGGAGCCAGAGCTGCCTTAGCGGCAGGTAACGCACACTGTATATGTGGGGTTCTGTATACTGTTTCCTCTCCAACTTAACAGACCTCAAAAACTCAAACGTCCGTAACCAAAACCTCCACAGCAGCATTTAACATGTCAGTGTAGAATTACATTGCATAAATGCACCATGACTCAATTATTTCCTTAATACCGGCTATTTACCTTATTTCCATTTTAAATCACTTTAAGTAATGCTGTGTTCAGTATCTCTGCAGAAATCTTTGGCCATGTTTCTGATTATTTCTTTAGAATATGAACATTTTAAAAGATTTTGATAATCTGTTGACAATTTTTTTTTCCTAGAAAGATCCTCCCAGTCTATGATTTAAGTCAGTAATGTATAAAGAAGTATTTAGGGTTCTTATAAATATACTAGCTTTACCAAATTTTTTTTCATTTTTTTTCCATCATGCCATTCTGATCTTAAGCTTAAAGGATGGGAAGGATATTGGTGAATGGGGAGGAAAGACAGCTAAAAAAACAAAGATTACATACAGTAATGACGGCCAGTCTGAAAGTGACAGCCATTTTCAATTTTTCCATCAGCCTCTATTTTTAAAGGGAACCTCTGAGGTGATATGAACAAGGAATCAAAGCTTATTTCTTAAATAGCAAAAAAAAAAAAAAATTAAATATCATTCAAGTAGTTTACATTCAACAAATGTCTCTAAATTACTAGACTTGGGAAATTTATTTTAACAATGCATAACAATTCCCTATCATTTTATAGCACAGTCTTCAGAATATGATTTCATTTTAGCTATTTAGAAACCTTGAGAAGTAGACCAAATGTTTTACTTACTGACTATATTTGTAGGATGAAGCTAAGCTTAACAGGAGATAAAAATGCAGGTTTTCTCAGCATATTGTTAAAGTAATCGAAGAGAAGGCTATTAGACTGAGATGACTCTGGTACTTGGTAGCCTAGTAGGGAAACCAAAACCTAAGCCAGAGTCAATTCCTGCAAATGCGTCAACAAGGAGAAGACCAACCACCAATTATAAACAGCCGACTACGTTTTCCCAAATAACGCAGCTGCTCAACTTACAGCCAATCAAAGAATTGTTTGCTTTGCCTGTGCATGTTGTCTATAAAAGCCTTGCCTTTAGCTCTGGTCAGTTGAGCTTTCCTAACCACTTCCAGTTTGGTACTGCCTGATTTGAATAAATTTTTGCTCAAATAAACTCAAAATTCTTAATATGCCTCAGTTTATCTTTTTAACAATATTAAAGAAAAAGTTAAATATGTATCAGTAAAATAATGGGTAAATGATGATGTTTGCCTACTAATTACACTGATTAGAAGAGTTTTTACAATGTAAGTGGGTAACTTTCAGAATGAAATTATTCATAAAGAAGTAGTATAATTTCATCCTTCTGGGTACCCAGAAAAAGTGGACAGGAGTTGCCAAGGTGATATTATTTTAGACTATTAGCTTGTTCTCCTCTTATGCAAATGACATGCTGAGTCAAAACCAGTTTCCAACTAGTAACGAAAGTGTGCTTTTACTAGTTGGCTGCTCATCCTTCCAGACTAAGCTGAACGTGATGCTTCTAGGCAGTGTGAGGCCAGATTAATCATGATGTGGTATGGCCTTTTGTGAATTGGTCTATTTAATTATATTTTAGCTTATTTATAAGTGTTTCCTTCACTACGTGAGCACTGTGGATTCCCAATTATATCCAGTATCTTTGAATCCTCTGCTAACAATCCTAATAGACGCTGAAGCACTTCAACAAGTAGGGAATGAGTGTGTATACGAATGATTCCACAAGACAAATTTAACAAGTATGAACATTCTATGAAACGAGTTCCATTCACTTTCTAGCAACCCACTGGTTGCATTACCACTCATTTTCGTTCAAATCCTATAGTGTTACTGTTCCTCTGGGTCAACAGGCTAGATAGAATCACTTTCCGCAAAGAAAACAGTGTTTTGGGCCTAGAAAATGACGCCCATAAGAATGAAAGATTTAACCTTGGCTTCCAGGCTTTGTCCTTCGCGCGTGGTTCTCCCCAGTCCTTCCTCTCTGTCGTGCGGGGCGCCAGGCTCTGGGACGGGGAAGCCCCGCGCGCAGCTGGGCGTTTGCGGGTTGCGGCAGCTAGCGGCCGGTGTCGCGGCGTTATAGCTCCGCGGACAGGGAACGCGCGCGACCCGAGGGAAGGTTGCTGGCGGACCGCATATTCGGCGCACCTGCGGCGGCCAATCCGGGCCGGTGGGCTCCAGGGGGGCGGGGCCAGCGTGACCCTTTCGGGGCCGCCGTCGGGTGAGGAGCCGGCCTTCGGGGTTCCCGGCGGGCGGCGCAGCGCGGCCCGTCGCCACTCCTCACGTGCGGGATGCTGCTTTTGGCGTTGGGCGGCCCGTTGGCGGCCGGACGGCGGCTCTGCGGGCAGAAGGCGACGCCGTGGGCGGCCATCGCGTTCCGAGGCCTCAGGGCGGCCGTCTCGCGGGGGCCCTCCGGCAGCTCCTCCGGGCCGGTCGGCGGCGGGAGCGCTGGGCGGTGGCCTTTCCGGCGTCCCGCGCCAGCGCAGGTCGGAGGCGGAGGGCTTGCGGGCCGGAGTAAGGGAGGGGAATGGGCGCAGCGTCCTACCTGGGGAGCCCGGCTCTCAGACGGCTTCTCCCCACGCTGGCCCGTGGCTGTGGTGCGGCCGGAGCCCTCTGCGGGGGCCGCACGAGTAGCCGGACTCGGCCCGGGAACAGCCCGTGCGCCCGGGCACCACGGCTCCCGCGGGGCTCGGCGCGTCCTTTGGGAAGGGGTTCTTCTCTGCGGGGGTCCGAGCACTTCACAGCAGTTTGCCCTTTTTGCAGAAGCTCAGACGGGTTAATTTGCAACACATATCCATGCAAATTATATCCCGAATTACGGACTTGGATAACCTGACTTGGAGTTGTTTTTAAAAAAATATATATTTTATTGATTTTAGAGAGAGGGAGATGGATATAGAGATAGAAACATCGATTGGCTGCCTCCTGCACTCCCTCCACTCAGGGTCCAGCCTGCAATCCCGGGACGTGCCCTGACCTGACCGGGAATCGAACCGCGACCTTCCCATTCATAGGTCCGTGCACAGGTCCGTGCACAATCACTGAGCCACACCCGTGGGGCTGAGTTGGGGTTTTTTTATTTGGTGGCTCTATTTTTAGGCATTAGTTTGCTCCCTGGAAAAAGGGGGATGGAGATGCTAATCCTCTCATTTTAATCAGTCAGTTGTCTTCTGATCCTGTCCGGTGGAATACCAGGATTAGCAGACATGGTTGAAATTGGAAACTAATTATATTTCAGCAGAAAGGAATTGGGCATGCCTTTTGAAGTCTGTGTGCCGTGAAATTCATTTTCCGATGCTCCGGGGACTCCTGTTCCCATGAAATTTGATGTTGGGTTTCAAGTAATATGGTTTCCTTAAAAGGAGCAAGGGATGCCAGGGGATAGATCCAGGGCCTTCAAGACTTACTCTTTTTTTTGTTTTTGTACTAGCTATAGTATAAATATTTTAGAAGTAATAAAATCATTCTGGAATTTACACAATCTGATTTTTCAGTGTTTTACTTACATTAATAAAATTTTTGTTTTTGAAGAGCAAATGCATGTAACTCTGACACTCAAACGAGGGTGATGTTCTCATTAACAGTGGAATAGAAGAAACTATTCCAGTGAAGTTTTTATATGTTCAAGGTCACACTGTTTAAAAAAGCTTGAAGCTGGGACGCAAACCTAGGCCTTCAAATTCCAACTTAACATGGGTCTACTTATGACGGGACTTAAGGAAAGCCATTCTATTAGCAAGTTTGGTATCTTTAGCTCTAGATTATTTGGGAGAGTTCCTTACATCACCTCATGTGACAAGTTCTCTTCATTATCTTAATTTTTTTAAATTTAAAAGTTGTTCTAAATACAATTAATTATCTACTTATAAAGGTCTCTGTTTCAATAGATACCCATTTGTTGGGAAAGATGTGTTCGATGCTTATACAAACAAGTTGAAAAATCAGAAGACGGAAGACTGATTTATACTGGGAATTTGGCCCGAACAGTATTTGGTGGGTAATCAGAAATGATGGTATTGTCTTTTCCTTTTAATTGTTAAAAAAAAAAAAAAAATGCTCTTAGTATGTGCTACTTTAGCACCTCTTAATTGCAAGACAAGGAAATATTAAACTATACTTTGTTTTCTTGTGGCTTGTTGATAGAAGATTTAGAGGTTGAGACCTTTGCATATTTAGATTTAAATAGATTTTTGAAGTCTGTTATGCCTTTTGATCTTATGGCTAAGTATTAAAGCTTCTTTCCTTTGGTCACCTCTTGGGATGTTTAACAACAAAACAGCAAAAAGTGTATATTCAGGTAACGTTTGAATATACAGAAAAAAAGAAAATACCTCTGAAGAGGTTATTTTTTTTGGAATAAACATTTTATATATTTTAAAATTTGGCAGTTAAAATGAGCATGTAATACTTTTTTACATTTTTCTTAGGTCATCTTAGAACTTTCAAAAAACATGCTTATTGTGGCTTTTCCAGGTGGTAGAGAATTATGGAGAAGGAAAAGATGGTGTGCTAAATTGCTGCAAATTTAAAACTCTTTCCTTAGATCATAATTTAGAATTTGGTATGGAACAATTTAGTAGGGAAGATCAGGAGAATTTAGGTATCTCATATAATCTTTAAAAAAGGTATAACCTGAACTATATGGAGGATTGTTTTTATAACCAAGTCCGACATTAGATTTCAACACTCATATTTGCATTTGTGTTTTTGATCATGCTGGTATCAATCAATCATTAAAATTTACTCTGGAAATCTGTGTGTTCTCTAGTGTTTGACATTAAAATAGAGTGCATTGAAAGTACATTTTTAGCTATTTAAAACTTTAGGAGTAAGGACAGGTTATTATCGCTATTGAGTGAAGTCCTGAAGTTATTCTAATAATCAATTTAGAAATTTCTTCAGAAGCCAATCCATGACTACGCCATTGAGCCTGTGCTGTGCCACATTTCTGGCCTGGGATACCGGGATTGATGCCACTGAGTTGTGTTAACAGTGATCCCCATCATAAGCTTCCTCTGAACAGACACTGTTCCTGCAAATGCAGGAAAGTCATCAATTTATCTAATGTTCCCACTTGAATCCATTCTAGAAAGACGAGAATATTAATAGGAATTAATTTTGGTGTGAGTAGGATGTAATATTTGTCTAAGAGGAAATCTATCCAGGGTATTCAAAGTTCTAGAATTGTAACTTGTAGAGGAATTTAATATTCGATTTCTTTCAGTATTATGAAAATAGAAAGTCACTCTACTTATCAGGGATTAATATTTTTTTATGTGGAATCAGGGAGAAACATTTTTTCTATGTAAAATTAAGAGACATTAAGATATAGATGCACCATTCTTGAAGGTTCTTTAACTACCAAATGGGTCCTAGTTTAAAGACATTTGCAGACATTTTGTTAATTCAGCAATAAGTAATTACTTATGTCATAGTGTTCTCATTTAAGATGAGTAGACTTTAAACATGAGGAGGTGTGAAAGAAAGGCATCCCAGGCATGGAAGTAGTATGAGCAAAGGAAGATGGGAAAGCCTAGAATGTTTGTTTTTTTTTTTAGAGGGAAAGACAGAAATATCGATGTAAGAGAAACACATTGATTGGTTGCCTCCTCCATGCCCCTGACCAGGGCCTGGGCTGGGGAGGAGCCAGTAACTGAGGTATGTGCCCTCGACCGGATTCAAACCTGGGACCCTTTGGTCCATAGGCTGACGCTCTAGCCACCGAGCCAAAGCGGCAAACGGCTAAGGCTACGTTTATTTCTTTTTGAAAAATTTTTAAGAGTTTATTTGAGCCAAACTGATGACATATACCAGGGAGCAAGACCTCAAATGCTCTTAGAATATGTTTAAAAAATAGTAATTACTTTAATCCAGGCAAAATAAAGTATATGTGTATATTAGTTTTCTAGGCCTCTTGTAATAAATTTCCAGGAACTTGGTGGCTTAAAACAACAGAAATTTATTCTCACAGTTTTGGAGGCTGGAAGTCTGAAGTCAAGGTGTTGACAGGACATGCTCTCTCTGAAGGCTCTGGGAAGAATTCTTCCTTGCCTCTTCCAGCTTCTGGTAGCTCTCAGCACTACTTTCGTAGCTGCGTAACTCATCTCTGTGTTCCGCTTCACAGGGCCTTCTCTGTGTCTGTCCTGCCTATCCTTATAAGGATACCGCCATTGGAGTTAGGGCCCACCCTAATCCAGTATGATCTCATCTCAATATTTATTCGTCTGCACAGACCCTATTTCCAAATAAGTTGACATTCTAAGATTCAGGGTGGACATAACTTTTGGGGGGATGCTATTCAACCCACTACACTGTGACAATGGGGAAAAAAGAGGTAGTTGGAAGGGCTGACGAGGCTTTAATATAGGAGGCAACTTGGTCCACATTGTATCCCATGTGTACCAGTGTCATGGCGACTACTGTGAGAGGAAGGAATTATTTTTAAATTACTGATACAAGCCTTCAACCAACAGTAATGGGTGAGAGTGTCTACGTTGTCCAACAGCGTCTGCTGTCAAACTTTCGGTTTTTGCCAGTTTAGGGGGGAAATGGCATCTCATTGTGGTTTTTATTGCATGTTTCATATGATTGAGGTTTGGCACCATTTAATCTGTTTAAGGACCATGTGCATTTTTGTTTCAATGAACTGCTTGCTTGTACTTCTCGCATGTTTGTACAGTGTTGGTTTTTTTCTTCTCATATACTAGAAACATTTTATATATTGGGAGTGTTAACTGCATAGAAGTTGCAAATATTTTTCTCATTTGTCTATACTTGTTTATGGTGTTCATATCTATGTACATTTTAATGTGTTCAGATTTACCAGCCTTTCCCCCTGATTGCTTCAGTATTTTGAGTCATAATTAGAAAAGTTTTCATATTAGATTACAAAGGATTTCATGGATGTTTTCTTCCTATACCTCTATGATTTTATTTTTTTATATTTAAATCTCAGAATTATTTGGAATTTTCCTGATATATGGTATGAGGGATGGATTGAATTTTATCTTTTTCTGTATGGCTATCCAGCTGTCCCAGTACCACTTTTGCCCATTTATTTTATTTTATTATTATTATTTTTTAAATATATTTTATTGATTTTTTACAGAGAGGAAGGGAGAGGGATAGAGAATTAGAAACATCGATGAGAGAGAAACACCGATCAGCTGCCTCCTGTATACTCCCCACTGGGGATGTGCCCGCAACCGAGGTACATGCCCTTGACCGGAATCAAACCTGGGACCCTTGAGTCTGCAGGCTGACACTCTATCCACTGAGCCAAACTGGTTAGGCTTGCCCATTTATTTTAGATAAATCTTTATTCTGTACTAAATATCCATATACTATAAAGTTTATTTCTTGATTTTTCATTTTGTTCCATTGATCAGTCTGCTTTTTTATGCATCAGCACCATGCTTTTTTTTTTTTTTTTACTCCTCACCTGAGGATATGTTTATTGATTTTTTTTTTTTTTTTTTTTAGATAGAGAGGAAGGGAGAAAGGCACGTGCCCCCCCCCCCCCCCACACACACACGCACATCAATGTGAGAGAGAAACATCGGTTGGTTGCCTCTCAAACGTACCCCAACCAGAGACCAAACTCAACCTAGGTGTGTGCTCTGACAGGGGATCGAACCCTGGACCTCTCAGTGTACAGGACAACACGCCAATCAACTGAGTTACACCGGCCAGGGCAGCATCGTGCTATCTTAATTACAGTCTTATGTTTCAGTATCTAACATTCCCCTCCACTTTTATTTTTGTTTTTCCAAATTCACTTTATAATCAGTTTGTCTAAGGTATCAACTTGTCTATTTTCCAAACAGATGGTATTTTATTGGGATTATGTTAAAAGTATACATGCAAAGAAATTTACATTTAAAGTCATTTGTTTACTTATTGTGGTAAAACACATAACAAAATTTATCATTTTAACTATTGTTAATTATACAGTTCAGAAGTCATTGATGTTGAATCTTTGTAATATGATATGTTGAATACCTTTCCCATATATTTCTATCCACTGGTATTATTTTTATTTTTGGTAATTTGTTGTTTTAAGCTTGGGTTCTTAGCTAGATAAAGTTAGCCCCCCGTTTGAAGAATTTATATTATATATGTGCAGGTGCTTGTTAATAGAGAGTTTTATTTGATAATGTGCTGACTGAATTGATGGTTATAGTATTCATAAGGATCTTTGAGTGTTGTTAAATCTTTTATTGGGGAACTGAGGTAGAGGCCAGTTAATCCTAAAGCACATTTCCCATCTGGAGAGGCAGTGCGCTGGAATGGCCAATGGCCTGGACTTGAGTCACATGGCCTGGGTTTGAATCCCAGCACTGCAAGCTATGTGACATTGAACAAGGGCCTCATTTTTCCCATCTCAAATGATCTCATGTTAATAATTGTGCATGTGTGTTATAGGGCTATCTATAGATTTCATGAATAAAATATGTAGAGTGCTTCAGACAGAACCTGGAATGTTATAACACTTAAGTGTTTTGTTTTAATGATGAGATAGTAAGAAGAAATGTGGGAAATTAATTGGATAGGTTGATTGTTTTATAAAATTTAAAAGTATTAATCCTCTCCCTTTTTTTTTCCTGTTTAGGTGTGAAATGTTTCTCTTATTCTACAAGTGTGATCAGCCTTACATTTCTACCATACATTTTTGCCCAAAATAATGTTGTATTTGGAAGTCTGCCTTTGCAAATCTTATTTTATGGCATCATAGGAAGCTTCACAGTGATCACTCCAGTCCTGCTTCACTTAGTTACAAAAGGCTATGTCATTCGGTTGTACCATGAGGCCACGACAGATACTTACAAAGCCATTACTTACAATGTTTTGCTTTCAGAAACCAGTACTGTGTTTCAACAGAATGACGTGAAGATTCCAAGCAGCACACATCTGTTTACCACATTTTATGCTAAAACAAAATCACTGTTAGTTAATCCAGGTCTCTTTCCAAACCCAAAAGACTATGACCATCTAATGGGTTATGACAAACCATTCACTTTTGATATGGAAGAAACCAGTGAAAAGAAACAGCTTGAAGACAAGAAATGAGTCTGTTGTTTTTATGTTTGTGCTTAAATGTGATTTATTTTCCTGTGAATAATAATAAAATTGCCTTTACTTTTGTTTTCTGTTAGTTACTGTTAAAAAATTGAAACTGTAACAAACAACTTTTGATTAATTTTCAGAGATTTATATTCCTTTATAATAACAAGCTATGCTTGAAAAACAAAACGCAATATCCCACCGTTTGTGTTTTTAAAAAGGTGCGAAAATACATGTGCATGCTGGCGTATGCATGGGTAATGAATAAGTGTGGTTGTCTTTCAGCTGGGAATGGGATATCAGGCACATAGGGGGGTTATTTTTCCTTTGTGTTTGGATTTTTTTAAGTATAGATACAATCTTTTCTCACATTAAAAACTATTTTAAAAAATTTACATATTCTGGAAAGCAGTGTTAATCTGCTTCCTTTGGTCACAGCTTGTTACCTCGGTTCTCTGACAGGGCTGCCTGTAATAAGGCTCTCCATGTGGTAAGCTGTGGGGAAATGGTGCCCTCAGCAGTGTCTTCTGTGGTCCCTCACGCACTCCTCCCTTGGTACATCCTATCAGTAGGAAAAGAACTTGCACTAAGGTGGATAGTATGCTTTGTAAATAGGATCTCTGCTAACTTACTAAGTACTTGCATTTTAAGATTTTACCTCTAACTGTAAAACAAAAGTTGGTTCCTGTGAAGGATTTTCAGCCAGGAGCAAAAGAGCTCAAACCTTTTAATCTGTAGATACTTAAGTGCTTAGTGTATGCTAGGTATTGTGCTAATTGCCAGAGTCACAGTTAACAAGACACCCAGACTGCATGGAGCTACCTAATGTCTTACTGCCTGCCAAGATGGTGAGGCTAACCTTCACGCCTGGCCTCTATAAGGGAGGTTGATGGGAAAGCAGCAGGGCCATCACTAGTTCATAGGGATGGTAAGTCTGAAACTGCTAGCTTACAGCTTTAGATAGAAAAGAGCTCATTTTTGTGACACCCAGAGCCTGCCTTCTGCTAGGTCCTAGGATCTGCCAGCTTGCCTAGCAGAGAGCGGGCTCTAGGGTCTCAGAAAGATAAGCTGGTTACGTCTCTTCGCAAGTTGGGTTTCTGCCTGCCTGTTCTGCCCTGTGTTACTTAGGTGTATATTGTTGTTGCTGTCTTAGCAGTTAATGTGATGTATATCTTTTTGTTGTTAATCCTCACCCAAGGATATTTTTCCATTGCTTTTAGAGTGGAAGGAAGGGAGGAAGGAGCAGGGGAGAGAGAAAGTTTGATGTGAGAAACATTGGCTGCCTCTAGCATGTCTCCTACTAGGGATTAAGCCTGCAACCCGGGCTTGTGCCCTGACTTAGGATATAACCAGAGACCTTTTGGTGCATGGGATGATGCTCAATCAACTGAGCCACACTGACCAGGGCTAAACACATTTTTAAATTATGGTAAAATGTATAACAAAAATTTACCATCTTAACCAATTTTAAGTGTGCAGTTTAGTACAATTCAGTATAGTGTTAACTATATTTTCATTGCTATGCAGTAGATGTCTAGAACGTTTTTATCTTGCAAACCTGAAACGTAATATCTATTGAACAACTCCCCATATCCTCCTCTCCCGTGGATTTGTGCCTTTTAAAAAAATGGAAGCCTAGCCAGTATGGCTCAATGGTTGAGCATTGACCTATGAACCAGGAGATCACGGTTCGATTCCCTGTCGGGCATATGCCTGAGTTGTGGGCTCGATCCTCAAAATGGGGCATGTAGGAGGCAACTGACCAATGATTCTCATCATTGATGTTTCTATTTCTCCCTCTTCCTCTCTGAAATCAATTTAAAAACTTTTTTTAAAGTAATTTAAAAGAAAAGGAAAGTTGCAAAACTGCCTGAGCAGCAAGACCTCCTTCCGGGGCTTTCCGGGGCTGTTTGAGAAAGCTCACTGTCATTAAGGGTCCGCAAGTGCAATCCTATGACTTCAGCAGAGCTTTTGACCTACAAGGAATTTTGCCTCATTCTTGGCCTGGGTCTGAGCCCTGAACTTCAGGGAAAATCCTCAATTCGGATCAATCATTGCTTATATTTTGAAGAGTTATTCTGTGAATTAAAATTTCTTCAGATTTCATTTCCAACTCAGGTTAAGTGTTTTCATAGAGAAATTTTGTGTTTATATTACACTGAAACCACATGTACAACAAATACCTCTATTAAATAGTTTAAAATGTAAAAAAAGAAAAGGAAAGTCACAGAGTTCTTGAAACCTTTTACCAACATGTGCTTATGACAACCTAAACTTGGAGATTTCTAGGCCCCAACTCCATGCCATTATAATCCCAAACTATATCCTATAAATGATTTCAAATAGCAAAGATCTAAAGGATTAACTTTTTCTGGAATGGAATAAGAATTTTGAAATGAAATTCATGCCATACATGAAATAGTGGTCATTTTATTATTAGGGCTCAAAATACTTCCTGGAGCTGCAGTTTGCTTAAGGAAGTGCATTCTCAAGCCTGGCAGGGCCCCAGCCCACAAGGCAGACCTACAGCTGATGGACTGTCTGGGGTCTTGTGCAGCCTGGCTCTGCCCCATGGCTGAACTGTTGCTGAGCAGAAATAGTTTGCAGAGGGGTATTCAGTTCGGATCTATTTGCCCAGTGCTCTGGGCCACGAGAAATTGGGTAAAGAGCCTCTGTGGGAGAATAACAATGTAGACAAAAAAGGGGTGTCGTCTGTTGGGATCCTAAAGGAGACCTACAGGCTGGCTTTGTTATTGTTGACTGGGAAATCCCTTGTTTTGTGTGTAAAGCTCTGCGCTGCAATTTGCATCAAGTGTTGGGAAAGAGTACATATATTCTAAATCATTTTCTTTTCTCCCCTTGCAGGAAGTACTCAGATATCACACACACACACACACACACACACACACACACACACACACACACACACAAAGAGGAAACAGTTGGATTGGAACTTAGAAGTCATGTGACTGATGACTAAGTTGACTCTTACTTACTGAAAGGGAAGAAGAGCCTGAGGATGAGTTGCTGGTTCTCCTTGCATTTGTAAAGTTTTGGAGCTATTAAATCATGTTCCCACTTATGCTTTTTTCCACCCTGTTTTCTTCCACGTTGCCTGAACCCAGGGAGCCGTACTGGATCTGCAACTCCTCTGATGTGAGCCTTTGGTATAGCTACTGCGGTAAGTGCACAGCAACAAGTGGTTGTAGTGCCAACTATTTCGAGGGTGTGTTTTCACAGGAACCTCATTCTGCTGTGGTGGGGACACAGGAAGCGTCGTGTGTTCCAGCTGCTGCCGGCAGCAAGAGTGACGGCTGATGACTTCCCTGTGTGGGTTATCTTGATCCTTCACAGGTCTCGCCAGTCTCTAAACTGTTGTTCTTGACCTCCAAGTGCTTCTGTTGTTCCCTGTGGTTAACTTTCTCCACCTTGAGCCTAGCTTCAGATTCCTCCCGGTTTTGGCAGAACTGTCTGCTTCTGAGCTCTTGCCTCCAGCCCCAAGACTAGCTCTTGACAAGGAAGCACAGTCCCAGGTGCCTCCGGAACGGATTATTGTGGCCAGCGATTTTCAACCGCTGGGTCACAATATTTAAAACATGCGACACCTGGCTATTTAGTCAGGGGCACGGACCTCTTTTCCCTTAGACTGTCAAATAAAAAAGTGACAGCAGCCAACACAACAATAGCCTTTTGGTGTGAATGAATAAGAATTATATCTTCTTTTTCTTTTTTGTTGGATCAGCAAAAAAAACCCCAAAACATTTCTTTTTTTATTAAATCTTTATTGTTCAGATTATTACATTTGTTCCTCTTCCCCTCCCCCCATAACTCCCCTCCTCCCAGTTCCTGCCCCACCCACCGCCCTCACTCCCCACCCACTGTCCTCATCCATAGGTGCATGATTTTTGTCCAGTCTCTTCCCGCATCCCCCTCACCCCTTTCCCCTCCAAGAATAGTCAGTCCATTCCCTTTCTATGTCCCTGATTCTATTATAATCACCAGTTCATTCTGTTCATCAGATTATTTATTCACTTGATTCTTAGATTCACTTGTTGATAGATGCATATTTGTTGTTCATAATTTGTATCTTTACTTTTTTCTTCTTCTTCCTCTTCTTAAAGGATACCTTTCAGCATTTCATATAATACTGGTTTGGTGGTAATGAACTCCTTTAGCTTTTCCTTATCTGTGAAGCTCTTTATCTGACCTTCAATTCTGCATGATAGCTTTGCTGGATAAAGTAATCTTGGTTGTAGGTTCTTGCTATTCATCACTTTGAATATTTCTTGCCACTCCCTTCTGGCCTGCAAAGTTTCTGTTGAGAAATCCGCTGACAGTCGTATGGGTATTCCCTTGTAGGTAACTGAGTTTCTTTCTCTTGCTGCTTTTAAGATTCTCTCTTTGTCTTTTGCTCTTGGCATTTTAATTATGATGTGTCTTGGTGTGGTCCTCTTTGGGTTCCTTTTGTTTGGGCTTCTCTGTGCTTCCTGGACCTGTAAGTCTATTTCTTTCACCAGGTAGGGGAAGTTTTCTGTCATTATTTCTTCAAATAGGTTTTCAATATCTTGCTCTCTCTCATCTTCTGGCACCCTATAATTCTGATGTTGGTACGCTTGAAGCTGTCCCAGAGGCTCCTTACACTATCTTCGTATTTTCGGATTCTTTTTTCATTTTGCTTTTCCAGTTGGGTGTTTTTTGCTTCTTCGCATTTCAAATCTTTGACTTGATTCTTGCGCTCCTCTGGTCTGCTGTTGGGAGTCTGTATAATATTCTTTATTTCAGTCAGTGTATGCTTAATTTCTAGTTGGTTCTTTATCACAACATCGAGGGTCTCATTAGATTTCTTGTAGATCTCATTATCAGCAGTTTCTAGAAAATTATTGAAAGACCTTAAAAGTGTGGTTCTGAACTCTATATCCTCCATTGACAATTTTGTCCTATTTCTTTGTCTCTGCATTTTTTATGCTTTCTTGGTGCACCCCCTTGTGGTCTTTGTGCGTAGTCTTGTTGTAGTTAACCTTGATTGTTGTAGGTAATACTTGGGGGATTTGACCTCCAGGCCAACTGGCTGTGAGAATCAGCTGTGTCTGC